TAAAGTCGTCTGTCAGCCAGCGAGCTGATTCTCCTCGTCTGTGGATCTACAGAAATGTGTTTTTTCTTTGGGATCGCCTCCTCAGAGCAGCTTTTAGATCAAATGAGAGTAAAACAGAAGTCGTCATGTTAACGATGGATTCACAGACTCGCAGCAGGACTGAGGCTCCGGGTTCGTCTCACGCTGTGAAACGTCTGATGAACAGAGAGCTTGGCGCTTCTTTCGGCTGCTGCAGCAAAAAGCTGCTTTTAAAAACGTCTCAGTGAAAGCGAAAGCAGCGAGAGCAGGAAGCCACAGTGTTTGCTCAAACGTGAGAGCCGCAGGGCAGGCGAGGACAGGAAGAGGCAGAGAGGACGAGAAGTGACCTTTCTCTCTAATGACCTTTACTCTTCCTCCTCCCCGCTCCACCCCCACCCCCACTTCTGTTTTCCAGCTCGTAAGAAGAAACGTTACAGACGGCCCCGAAAGTCCAAGTGGAGCACCGGCGTCATTAAGAAACCTAAGAAGAAGAAGAAGGAGGAGGAGCCACCAGTCCCATCCTCCTCCTCTTCCTCCTTCACCTCCCTCTCCTCCATGTCCAGTAAGTTCAGCTCTGAGTCGAGTGCGGAGGAGGTCAGAGCTGCTGGACGGCGAGTGGTGAACGGGTCTGCTGGTGCTGGCTCGTCCAGCCCATCAGAGAGCAGTGACGGCGGCCTGAGTGGGTTCCATCGCACCCCAAACCGCATCACGAGAGCCCACAACGGAGTCCTCACGAACGGGTACCGCCACACCGAGCCGGTTCATCGCCAGCTGGCTGATGGCGTACCTGTAGGCGTGCGTCGAACCCGCTCATCAAAGACCCTCCCAGGCCCGGAGACCGTGCTGAACGGCCAGACCGCGGACAGCTTAGGTCTGTGCGCGTGAGCACGAGCAGTGCGAGCGCCTCGCTGTACTAACCGACTCACTGGACCGCTTCAGAGCGCAGCCGCTGCCGATCGAGCTTCTACAGGCCGCCGCTTCACGCTACGAGGCTCCGCAGCGCTCCGGGCATCGAGCAGGAGGAGCGTGTGAGGTGTCAGAGCCGGCTGCTTTAGTCTGAATGAAACGCGCTGCAGGAGCGCTAACGCGGCTCTGTGGTTCAGCACACACTGTAAATACCACACACACACACACACACACACACACAGCGGAGCTTTGCATCTGTAAATCTGATGGCTGCATCACGCCAATCAGACCTGACCTGTTAGCTTCCGCCTCCAGGTGTGAGAACACCTCAGTTCCTCTGACGTCGATCGATGGTGCAGAGTTTCAGAGTTGGTGACGGAGCTGTTCGCTGCTCTGAGTGGTGTTTTTAAAATTATCTGACCAATAACACAGCTGCTGTGTGTGTGTGTGTGTGTTGCAGCTTTCTAACAAATCAGAATATTAATCCCAAAGAAAATGATGTCTACCGTTAGCTGAAAACTCCACAGTCATTTCTTTTTGCCATAACCTGGTTGATTCCAGCTGTGAAGGTGTAGAGTTGGCTGTTTGTGGGAGGCACTGCAGGGTAATGCCTTCTTCCTCTGCTTGTCTTCCTCCTCAGAGAAGAGCGAACAGTCTGAGTCGAGGGCCAACAAGGCGGCTTTGGAGCAGGTGTTGAGTCGGGACAGGCCGGAGCAGCAGGAAGAAACTCCACCGCTGATCGTCGATCGCAGCAAACTGAAGGTGAGTCCCAGCTCGCCTCTTTAAGGGGCTCAGACTGAATACAACGTGACGCTGTGTTCATTAGAGTCAGCGTTCATCAGTGAGCAGATCCTGGATCAGCGTGAAGAGAATAACCTTCACACTGTACTCAGTGTGACCGTAAACCCATCAACGCAGAGTTAACAAGGTCACAGACACAGCTGGAGCCCCCTGCTGGCTGTTAACGTAACTGCAGATTTACATGTCCAGCTTCGTTTCACTCTTCATACCTGGATGGTC